CATGCATGCACTCACGTATGCACGTATGAACGAACGCCCATACGCACACATTCAAGAATACACAAATATGTGCGTAATATAATAAAACTAAAATTTTAATAAAGATATACATACAGAGTGTTTTTGAAAAAAAAAACGCCCATTAATCATATAGTATTATTACTAATACAAAACTGAATGGAAAAGACTTCTACCATTTTACAATTTTTGTAATACTTTTTTTAGTTACCTTAATTAATGAGCAAAATGTTTAAAATTAACGTATGCAACACAACTTTAAAATATTTTTTGAAGAATTCTTCAAGAAACGTCTCCAAAATATTTCACAAAGAATACTAAAAGGTATCTTAAAATTGTTTTATTCATCGATTTTATCCGTTTTAGTAATCTTTATAAATTAATATCTCGTCAACTATTGCGAAAATTGCAAAATATTAGAGGACACATTGATTCAGTGTTTATATATATAAAAGAAATAGTACTGTACGCTTAGTGAGCGTTATTTCAGTTAAACCTTGTATATAATATAAATATGTGCATGTACATATGTATATGAATAGATGCATTTATAAATCATATTTATCGACACGTATTACACAAATTTATCTAACAATTTTATTGTTGAGTAAATACCATGGGAATTTGCGTAACACATTTTTTATCTGATTATTTAATTATTATCATTCTTGCAGAACGTTAATTAATGCCTTTAATTTACTTACATAAGAATATACTTACATAAGACATTGTTTTAAGAGTAGTATTAAACGACTTGTAAGTTTAGACCAAATTGTTGCATTACATAGTATACATGGTGTCTCTGTATCGCTTTTTGAGATAAAATAATCCCAAGTCCAATAAAAGTTATCTACTTTTTTCTCTTCTTCTGACAATATGTCTGGATGTGCCTTCACAGGAAGTGTTTATGTAAAATAGCTAAGGAACTATTATGTATGTTAAATTTTACAATCTTGCATCTTGCCTCATTTCTACTTGTCAATTTTGTGTAACGTCATATTCAAAGACGAGATCTGGGATAAAATTGTCTGTCTTTGGAGTTATATATCCTCATTTGTACTCATATCATTATCTGGATTGCTCTCGTTATCTACACGATTTGAATTTGGACCTAATATCCTACATTTGCATAACAAATTGTTAAAAAAGCAATTAAAAGTACAGTAGATATATTATATTCAATTATGTACATTTTTGCTGTACGGAATGAATTATAAATTTTTTAGAACATATTATTTGAA